CCCTAGTACTGCCAGGCAGAAGTGCTAACCATTTAGCCACTGTGCTGCCCGTGCCAGAACACACTGGATCAAATGCCGATCGGCAAACTTTTTTCTGTCACACTGGCCACTGTACACACGAATGTCGGTTGGCTTTTATGGAACGCAGCCGATGCCGCCTGACATTCTAGGCTTAAGAGTTATTTTCCTCCTAAAATCTTAGATAAAATACCTCTAGGTTTTTTTCAAACTTTTTTTGCAATTCACAAAAAAAACACTACTAAAATAAAGCATGAGTTGTTTCATCAAAATGTGAGGTATTTTACTGATGACGTGATATCCAGTGGGATAGATACAGTGGAGAAGGATTAGAACCCCTGCTAAAAAAAAAAAGAGGTAAAATGGTTTAAACCGTAGAAATATGCCAACTCACTAAGTCAGTGCAGTCCCTGCAGCAGGTGTAATAATACAAAACAAAAAAAATAAAAGACTGGAATACCAATCAAAGGGTAGCTGCTTTCACAGAACACACGTGGTGTATCAAAAACAAATACGTTAAATTAGGTAAACACATAATATCTTTATAAAGGTCAAATATTGAATGAAAATAGTATAAGAAAATCACACACACACATATATACAGTGGGGCAAAAAAGTATTTAGTCAGCCACCAATTGTGCAAGTTCTCCCACTTACAAAGATGAGAGAGGCCTGTAATTGGCATCATAGGTAGACCTCAACTATGAGAGACAAAATGAGAAAAAAAAAATCCAGTCAATCACATTGGCTGATTTGGAAAGAATTTATTTGCAAATTATGGTGGAAAATAAGTATTTGGTCACCTACAAACAAGCAAGATTTCTGGCTCTCACAGACCTGTACCTTCTTCTTTAAGAGGCTCCTCTGTCCTGCACTCATTACCTGTACAATGGCACCTGTTTGAACTTGTTATCAGTATAAAAGACACCTGTCCACAACCTCAAACAGTCACACTCCAAACTCCACTATGGTGAAGACCAAAGAGCTGTCGAAGGACACCAGAAACAAAATTGTAGACCTGCACCAGGCTGGGAAGACTGAATCTGCAATAGGCAAGCAGCTTGGTGTGAACAAATCAACTGTGGGAGCAATAATTAGAAAATGGAAGACATACAAGACCACTGATAATCTCCCTCGATCTGGGGCTCCATGCAAGATCTCACCCCGTGGGGTCAACGTAACAAAGGCTACCATCAGTAACACACTCACAGTTGAGATAACTGATCCAAAAGGTAGAGATGACTCCAAATTGGCGATTATATTTTTACATCCCTTACATACCTCATGCCTGGATCACTGCTTACATAACGCATATATTTATTTCTTTTAGTGAATTGGTGAACACCATTTTACCTCGTGTTTTTGGTAAATACCTCATCAGGTGATCGTGAATTGACATTTTCATCATCTTATGAGATAACTGGGAAAAAAATGTGTCACACGATTCAATTATCTCATGAGATATTCTTTAGTGAATTGAGCCCACAGTCTTTTTTTTGTACACTATTTTACCAAATGTCATTTTTAAACACTGTATTGCCTTTTAACAGTTGGACGCTCCAGGCTTCAGCTGTCACAGCTCCTCTCTCTGTACAAGACATTGTGAACAAGTATTGTTTGTCAATAAACCCCCATGATTACCATGTCACAGCTATCGTGATCACATGGACCAAAACCATGGCGGTTCCAGATCCCTAATGTGACCCAGTCACCCAACAGCAGGCTGTAAGAACAAGGAATGCACACAGGTCAGATTGTACACACCAACTGAATCAAGTACAAAAGTGCCACAAACATTGCTGTGGACAGAGCAGGGAGGAATTAGAATCTGTCAGGTTTTTATTGTGGTCTGTGTTCCCTCTGGACAAATTCCTCTTCCATCCTGAAAGGAATTTCCCTTTTTAGGGGGAAATATCCAACATGTGAACTAGTTTAGTCCCACATAACATTGGAAGATGAAGAGCTTAGAAGCACAATACATTATTTTGCATTTAAATTACATTATTTAAGACAATTTCTTTTCTCATCGTTTAAAAATTCAGCTATGCCAAGACTATGGACATTAAACTATTTTATTTGTTACCAAGCAGTAAAATAGCTTTTAAAACACTCTGTTTTTTATGTGAAGTTATTAATTCTTAAAATCCTCAACAAAAACGAAGAAAGCTTAAAGTGTTAAACCCAGGACCCTGCATTCACTATATCTGGTCTCCCACAGTACACAGAACATTCAAATGTAATTATTTTAGTAAATATAAACTGCTAAATACCTTTTCTCATCAGCAGTTAGAGCAGTCTTGTGACATCTATCAGTGTCCAGCAGAGCACTGGTAAAGCTTGTAGGAGGAGTTTTCTCTAGGAGGATGCAGAACCCCTGACCTCTGTCTGTCTGGGCATTGCTGATTAGCCCTGTGCTGATCAGCCCTGTGCTGATCACATGCACTCTCCCAAGGACAAAAAAAAAAAAAAAAAAACCCTCTAGCAATACACACCAAGCTGAGCATGTGCAGTGTCTCCACACAATATGTCTTATCAGGAGATAAGAGGGGGACACTGGAAGAAGGGGAGGATCAGAGAAGTCAGGATCAAACAGCATTTTTAGACAATGCAGAGGATTAACCCGTTAGTTTCCACAGTGAGTATAACTAGAATGCTTTACTGCATTCGAAAATTAGAAAGGAAAAAGGGGTGCACAAGCCTTGCGCATTACCTCAATAAAAACTTTAATCATACAAAGTAGCAGATATATACTCACAAACAACAAATGTACACAGGCATATCATGACCGACAATAGTCTGAAATGGTGCACGAGTCCCACAAGCAAAAGGATGCTTGAGAATGTCTGACTCATTTCGAGGAGCGATCTCCTCTTCATCAGAGCCTGCATATACAGACTGATTTTACTGTTATAGGTTCAGTAACACTTTAATGCGTATAGATACAGAGGTGAATAAGATCATATTTTAAAATTCTTTTACTGGACATGTAAATCCTTCAGTATAAAATTACCTGGGTGAAGGTCATTAACTTTAAAGCCGAAATCCATTCACAGCAAAAAAAAACAAACCCCCCCCCCCCCCCCAAAAAAAAACAACTTTGCAGTGGGACTTCCGTGCACTGCAATGGTTAAATGCTCTAAGGGTAGAGAAAAAATCTGAATTACTTATCTTTGTCCTCCCACCAGCAGCCTTACCCCATGCTGGGTGACCGGTCCTCCACAGATTCTTCTCTAAAGCCATCCATAGATGGTTCAAATCTCAGCCGGTTCAGCAGGGACTGGCTGACATTCGAACCATGTATGAGCAGGCTGAATGTACCCAAGTTTAAGGATCCCCCCCCTGCGGAAAGAACACATTGGCTCCACAGGAGGCATTGCCTTCATCAACACTGACTGCTGATAGGGGATCGAGTGATTTCCTTTCCTGCAACTTGTGGTAAGAGGCAACTGGGACAACTAAAATATCACATTTTTAGTGGTCCAACTTTTCAATTCGAGATCAACATCTAAATCTGAAAGGGTGTGATACTGTGATACACAACAAGAAACTAAAAGGTATACGCATACAGCACACAGTAGTGGGGTACAAGAGTGATGCAGGTATACCTGAAAACTAATAAACTACAAAAATGATTTTAATTAATCCAACAAAAACATCAATAAATGGACATGACTATGTTAAGGAAACATTTTGCTGTCATAAAAGCAGAGTTTTTAGAAGTATATCTTATTATGGGTACTATACAAGACAAATTGCCTCTTTCACAGTTTAAAAAAAAGACAGACACTATTATATCATTAAGTTCTAATCACCTGTGAGATTTCCAGCTCCCTCTGTTCCTGTGCTTCGACAGAGAGCACGTGTCTCCTCTACTAACGCACAGCAAGGTCCTTCTTGGCAGTACAGCACCTCCTCTTCATCTTCATCATCACCCTCCATCTCCCAAGAGACATGTCCTACACAGTCCAGGCCACCCTCACAGCCTGGGTCCTCGGGAATGATGGGGATAGATTGACCAGGCTCACATCCAGCTACTGCAGCAGCAGCAGCTGCCGCTGCTGCCTCTGCCAGGGCATACTGAATGCTGACTGCATAGTCCTCAGTGTAGCAGCTTCCATGATTCTCCTCATAGAGGCAGCAGGGCCGGGCAGAGTGACCAAGTACTGTCCCTGGATCTGTCCGATGTAAAAGGCTGGAGGTAACACTGTACAAGCCTCCACTGGAGGGTGTGGCAGCTGCTTGCTGAGGTTCTGGACCCAAGTACAAGCCTGTGCATTCTGGACTGGGATCCCCAGCCGGCCTCTGATAGCAACAGGGGCAGCCCTTGTCAGGCCCCCGCCAGTCTCTTCCACCTCCTTGTGAGATGGAGCAAGAGGTATCTGGGACTACCCCAGAAACCAAGGCTGCCCCTCGCCTTTCTAGTGAAGAATTGCTGCTGTAATTCATCTCCAAGCTGCAGTTGGACAGGCGATCCCGGGAGGAAGAATTTGGAAAGATCTGATGAGGTCTGCAGTCCACTCTACCTCTTCCAGGTCCTGTTCCAGCTTCCCCCCCAAAACCTGCAGCCTCCCCTCCTCCAGTCCTTGCAGGGCTGCGACTCCTGTATACATAAGGGTCAAAGTCACTACTAAGAGAGCTTCGAAAGGTGGAGCAGCTACCATACACTCCCTGGTTGCTAGCCTCCGTGCAGTCCAGCATGGAGTCACTAGATGATGCATGCCCCTGAGCAGAACTTGCACTGGAATTGGAGCTACTGTCACTGCATGGAACATCAGCCAAATAGCCACTGCATACAGAGCGATGTTGATGTTGGCTGTGTAGGTAGCAGCTCCCACCAGCCGAATGTGGTGCCATGTGGATCATGGCTGGTGCAGGCTGGTATAAACAAAGTTAGTACCTGTCTGAAAGGGATGGTTTATGCCTTTTTCTACTCCTCTAGAGTTCTGGCTACCCCCTGTGGTTTCCTGGTGGTGTGGGTAGCTCAGACCCTGGAAGTAGTAGTGCTGATACATGGTCTCATATTGAGAATAACAAGTGGCAGTATTAAAACCTCTCCCATTATATTTAGAACGGCGGAAGCCATGACCAGCCTGTGGGGCTGGAAAAGGAGGGTGCTCCAGGTCGCAATGATGTCCTGTAGATGACTGATCCAGTGATACAGGTCTGTATCCTGCCAGAAAAGCAGGTGTCCGGGCAGGGCATAGCTCAGGCTCCATTGGGCGTTCCACAGTAAGTACCGTGATGGGATTGCCATGTGGGCCCATGCTGGTGCGAGTTGGATATGCAGAAATAGGTCCAGTCCTCTGCACGCGCCCTGGATAATGAACTGGTAGAATGACTCTCTGCTGCTGTTGATGTCGACCACGAGTGCTTGTACTCTCCACACATATGCCACCATGACCTCCTTTCTTTTGTTCTGCACAAGAAAAACAAATACGTATGTCACTTACATAACACATATAGAACTATAGAGCAACTGGTAGTAGTGGAGGCTTCTACAGGTTCAAGTTCAGATGACACTGCATGATACAGAACTGTATAAAAATGATTTATATATCTACACCAATATTAGAAGCTCATTAAAAGCATCTAATTTACATTCATTTTATGAGCTTTCTAAAAGCCTAATCAAGGACTGCAGAAAAAGTCAGTAGTTATGGAAGTAATTTAGAAGGAAAGGGAAAAGCAAAGCAAAACAAAAATCACCAATATGCTATTTTAATATGATTTGGTACAATTTCAGAAAAACATTTTTGAAGAAAAAAAACTGTTAAATCCTCATTTCCCAAATGCTTCTCTCATGGCTGAGTAAAGCTTCCCTTAATCTGTTTCACCCAAACTGCAAGATTACCAGTGTTTTTCAATAAGGTGCGGGGAATGTTTCAGAGTGACAGGTCCTAGACAGCCCATTAGCATTATGACCATGCACCAGAAAGAGAAGAACTGGATTATAAGGGTGGCTATTACACCTTCTACAGTAAAATAATCCTGCATTCCACTTACCTATAATGTTGTGCCTACAATGAGGACAGGTGTGATTCTGTAAAAGCCAGGGGTCCACACACCTCTTGTGAAACCGATGTGTACAAGGAATGACTCTCAGCTCCTGCAGTAGACATAAGAGAACATACCTTAAGAATTTAAGTATGAATAAAGGGATTATTTCGTTTCTGACTTTATCAGTGTCAGTAGGTGATTTGAGCATTACAATTAGCTTCATGCCACAGTATGTACTAGGCTAACCATATCAGCCCAATTACACACTACCAACCTAAATATAAAACCCAGCCAAATATAAGATGAAATGCAACTGCATACTTGTAGCCTGGTTTTGCGGCCTTTTTTGGTGGTTATCATACCAACAGCCATTTTGTGTTGCTGCTCTTGTTGTCACAGGCCCATATTATCTCTTATACTCTATGTATTACCATTTGTATTGAGACCTTGTGCTGTATGTGATTTTTGAAAATCTCAATAAATATTTTGTAAAAGAAAATTCAGTGCTGTCCATATTTTTAAATTATTTAAATAAAATTATTATTAGCATGTGAACGATTTCAGACTGGGAGAAGGTGTATAGGATTCTCAGCCAGGGTACACTGATGTCATTCTAAGATTAGGATTATGTGTACAGAGATGGAAAGCCCAGTCATGACGGTCTCTGCATGCTGATATTTCATTATTGCCCAAACACAGGCTGGGATGAGTCCATGACAAGGCTCCATTGCTCGTCTTTGTGTATTTTGCAGAAAGGTAGGAGGTAGCTGGCATATATGCCTGGATCACAATAGCAACTAAAAAGAATTAAATATCCTTTGCAAATAAAAACCTCCAAAATATGAATTTCATCTTTGTATTTAGGTGTTTGCCTGAAAGACAGCTTACAAAGTGTGACTAAAGCCAGAACACTTTTTAGTTTTGGATAAAGTAAAAAAGGATTATCAAATCTATAATTGTTTTCTCTTTGCATTCATGCTGGAAAGATTCACCCTCTCTAGTTGCCCTAGTGACCACTGTTCAACATGTTGAGTTTTCACTGAAGTAGGAATAGACGGGAAGTCTTTCAATCAGACACCTGAAGAGGGTAGGTTCCCTCACTTTGGAGGTATTACCTCTCATGTCCTGATGAGTCTCCTGGAAAGGAGGTGAAAGGACAACTCTGCAATAAGACACAGATGGTAAAAAACCTGGCAGGAGTTTTAATCATTGAAGAAGGACACTTCTGGTTTTCAGCTGATGTGTCCCAGACTTGCTTTATTTGATGAGGTAATAATTTTGTTTATTGGTTGGTAATAAAAATAGTATATGCGTGAGAGTTCATTGAAAATATTAGTGGGCCCAGGGCAAGGATATCATTAATTAGGCTCTTATATCTTGAAAATTAATCTTTGAGCAATGTTACAACAAGAGATCACTTATCAATCTAGTACCCATGGAATGCAAACAGTTAACACCCTGCTTGTCAAACTCTATGACAACAAAGTGATGGAAGTCCCTTGTCTTGGTGGGCCTAGAATAAAAACACCTATTGCAGTTTTAGTCAAACAGTCATCACCTGAACATAGTCATAAATAATATCTATATCTATTACCTCTCCATCTATGTATTTTTCCAAGCAAATGGCGCAGTCAGAGGTGGAACTGCTACTAAGTGTGTCAAGGCCACCAATGCTCCCTTCTCGGGGCACTTTGCCCTTTGCTTTGAATTTTCTGGTCTCCATTTTTTCCAGTGCTTGAACAGCCATCCTGTTCATTGAGTTCTGAAAGAGAAGACCATTAAGATCACAAAGGAAAAGCACTGGTTACAAACATATAATCCTCCTATAAAGAACATGACATTCCCACTTGAATGGAGTGGTTTTATCTGAAATATCAACAATGTACTTATTTTATTATATTATATTAGGGCTTCAAAGGCCCCTTATATTAAAACAATGTTTTGTGTTTTTTTTAGCAAGGGTATAATTATTTTAAAAAAGCCACGATGTGATCTACAACCACTGCTCATTGCACAGAATCTTCCAACATTTCATTAGATATAGTAGACTCCAAGCAGTTTTGCTTTTCTTATGTAAAAGTACATCAGTAGGCAGCTGCATTAATGTGTAGTCCGCCACTGCATTATACGATAACTGGGGGAGATGCCTGGTATGAAGTATGGACTGTAGTTGGAAAATGCTTTGATACGTAGCCAGGGATGTTGAATTTACATTGCCCGATGCCCGGGACATGTAGTTCCGGGTGCCGGGCATGTAGTTTTTTCCTACCTTTAGCCCTGCTGCGCGCAAGCAGCAGGGCTCACCTGTCAGGTTGAAGCATTAGGGTGCTGCCGCCGATTACTTTCACACAGTGCCAACCTCTCAATGCCCCCTCCGTGTAAAGCTCCCCCAGCCCACTACCTCCCTGGCTCCGCTTGCACATCTGCGGGCCCGGGACCAGCCGGCGGCTAGAGGGGAGGGATGAGAACGGACACGTCCAATCCCCTCCCCTTCTTGTCCTGACCCGGAAGTGACGTTTGATGTCACTTCCAGGTCCCCATTCACAGATTCACACTAATTGAGGACGAGAAAGAATGTAATGCAGTGCATTAAATCACATAAAAAATCCTCCTGCGCTCTTATGGTAAGTGGTGAATAAAAAACTAACTAAAGCAGCCAGCATCTGTCCCATACCAAACAAGGGCAATATGAATAGAATGTAAAGTTGATGCAGCGCTAAAAGACTAAAGCCTAAATACAGTATATAACCAGATAGTAAATATGAGTAATAACATGACCCAAAACCACCTAGGGATAAACAGAAAAACAATGGCCCTTAATAGACTAGTAACAGTGGTTAAGTGCAGGATAAGGTGTCCATAGTTCATACAGGAGTGTAAGTGAATCACAGCACACACTTCAAAGAACGTGACCCCGGGCAGTCTTGCTGCAATGGCCTCTCACCTCCACTCTACGACCCTACAGGGCCATAAAGCGTAATGTAGATCACCACGGAATCCTCCAATTCAGGGACTCTTTAGATAGATTGGCATCACATAAACAGGGACAGAATTCCTCCAGGCCAGTAGGTGAATAGAATAGACTCTCCTCCTCCGATGTCACAACCGCTCATATGCTCATAAATGAGGAGATAAACACAATCCTCATAGTGTATTACCGCTTTATTTGAGTATAGACAGCAAACAAAGAAAGAAGGTAATACACTTACATAACAAAACGGCTTGTATGGAGATGCAATGCTGGGTGTACAGCAGGATCAAAAAGGTGCACCAAGATGGCGTCACGCCGGAAGTGCGTCACCACGCTATTGCCGTCGACGCGTTGCGTCACGTACCTCGTGACTTCATCAGGTCCTGATGAAGTCACGAGGTACGTGACGCAACGCGTCGACGGCAATAGCGTGGTGACGCACTTCCGGCGTGACGCCATCTTGGTGCACCTTTTTGATCCTGCTGTACACCCAGCATTGCATCTCCATACAAGCTGTTTGTTATGTAAGTGTATTACCTTCTTTCTTTGTTTGCTGTCTATACTCAAATAAAGCGGTAATACACTATGAGGATTGTGTTTATCTCCTCATTTATGAGCATATGAGCGGTTGTGACATCGGAGGAGAGTCTATTCTATACACCTACTGGCCTGGAGGAATTCTGTCCCTGTTTATGTGATGCCAATCTATCTAAAGAGTCCCTGAATTGGAGGATTCCGTGGTGATCTACATTACGCTTTATGGCCCTGTAGGGTCGTAGAGTGGAGGTGAGAGGCCATTGCAGCAAGACTGCCTGGGGTCACGTTCTTTGAAGTGTGCTGTGATTCACTTACACTCCTGTATGAACTATGGACACCTTATCCTGCACTTAACCACTGTTACTAGTCTATTAAGGGCCATTGTTTTTCTGTTTATCCCTAGGTGGTTTTGGGTCATGTTATTACTCATATTTACTATCTGGTTATATACTGTATTTAGGCTTTAGTCTTTTAGCGCTGCATCAACTTTACATTCTATTCAATGCAGTGCATTACATTCAGGGAAACAGAGGGGAGACAATCAGGGTCTTTTAGACCATGAATGTCTCAATAAAGAGAACAAACAATGTAAAAGCACATGCTGGGACACCTACACATGAAAATGTCGACTGCGATACACATGTTACATGGTCGCCGCACAGGCCAGAATGAGAGCAATAATTCTAGCACCAGACCTTCTCTGAAACACTTTACTGATGACGTAGAAGGGGCTTTAAAAGTGTCACCTATAGAAAATTATAGGGTACTGAAGTTCGGCACCAGTGTAAGCAAATTTAAGGTTTGATAAGTTGGATATCCATGTACTTGCTGCAACCTCATCTTTTATATTTTACAAAAAAAATGGGGTAATTAATTGCTTTTGTTTTGCGCCCTAAAATAAACTAATTTGTATTTTTTACTGAAACTTTGCGGTAATATCATGTGACATAAAAAACTGGAACAACCACTATTTTATTCTCTAGGGTCTCTGATTTCAGAAAATATATCATGTTTGAGGGTTTTGTGCAATCTTAAGGCCTAAAATTATTTTTTTTAATCTTGTGCAAAAAATGCAAAAATGGCCCTGGCAGCGAAAGGGATAAAGGATAAGCTCTGGCCAACCCTTTCCTGAGGAGCAGCCAATCCGTGCTCATTACACTGCAAGGTCTCTCTGCTCCCTCCTAGTCCCTGAGTGCGGTGCTGCAGACAGGCAGGGAGGGGAGGAGGAGATAAACAGTGCAATGTTAAAGATATTACACGTTTAAGTCACCATAAAGCCCTTTTGTTTTTAAAACATTCCTAATATCACCTCAGATTTACATATGGTTTTGGTTAAAAAAAAAAAAAAAATTTTTATCTGGACAAGTAGATTGTCATGAGGGACAAGTAGATCGGGGTACCGATTTAGTCCCTTGGACAAGTAGTTTTTTCAAAAATGTCCACACCCCTGCATAGCAGATAGAAAGAACAGCAGACTCTCGGAGACCATTATGGCAGCAGGATCAAAATCAGATGTAAAACCTTTGACTAAAAGAGGAAAAGACCAACTTGCCCCACTTTTTATGAAGTAAGGGAACATCAACTCTGGTCATTTCGTGTTTGAAGGTCAATAGATCTTAAGTATATTGTAAACTTCTAAAAGTCATACATGCACTTTCCTCATGCTGTCAGGAAAGATCATTTAATGATCCTGCAAAAAAATTGTGCCAACTTTGTGCTCTCTGTCTCTGCTGTTACTGAAGGGTGATAATGATGCTCTCTGGTAGATACAATAAGGTGAGTAAGCTTAATGAATGCAGGCATCTCATTGGACAATTGGTAATATATTATATTTTTGTCCTTTATTCATACCTGACTTCTCCTCTGCTTTAATTTGATCTTGATAAGAAGAATAAGGCAGACCAGGGACACCACAACAAAAAAGGCTAGAAATATACCCATGTCGAAATATTCAGTAGGTTGCTAAAGAAACAAAAAGAAAAATCAGTACATAATATGTTATAACCCCCACATCGCACTATTTGCTGCTTTGTGGCTTTATGTTCTGTTATTTTTAACCAAACACTGCAAATAACACTCTTAAAAATCAAAGAAAACAAAGAATAAATATTAAACAGCTGGCCAGTGCTTTTTGTTTTTGTATTATAACAAGACTGTAAATAGGTTAATATATAAAATAAAGAATAAAAAAATAAATAAATAAACAAAAGATGGCCAACTCAAAATTCATGAATAATACTGGAAATGACTCTCTCTACCAATGTTCTAAGAAGTAGGCAAGGGCAGAGGAGGCCAGATCCAGGACTCAGACTGAAGCAGGTACGTGCTCGTCAATAACCTCCAATTCTGTGTTCTGTTTATATGGCTAGAGACTGGTAGTTGGCTAAAAGGTCCTCGCTGAATAAATGCAAAATGTAAACTATCAGATATAGGTTAGACTCAAAGCCGATTCCCAAAATGAGAGCTGCAGGAGCCGCACAACTGTGGACATAACCACTGTGAAAATGTCCACCTATCAGAAATTCCATTGTCCATTCCAATATGCTTCAGGCTCTGTACCAAGGCAAACTGAAAAATATTACACCAGAATGGCATGTGTTCTGAGGCAAGCTGATGTGTAAAAGTTCTGCCTGGAGGACCCGTGATGTTGGGAAACTATGAAATTGTACTGGGGTCATTGTGAGTGTCCTGTTGGGAGGCAGTATTGAGTAAGTACCACTAATGGCTGTGCTAACTGCAATATCTACAGATGTAAAGGTCTGCTGACATACTGCTTAATAATGCCCTTAAAATAACCTGCAATTAGTCAGAGCATGTTTGTCATGCTGCTTATCTGCCAATGTACTGCTGCTCCACTGAGGGCCCTTCAGGTTTGTCTTACTCATGGTCCCTGCTGGTTCTGGGCATCACTGCCAAGGCTACCCATCCCATACATGTCATAATCTTTGTGACCCAACTACATTCTACGTAAAGTAAAAACAACTGAAAAACTAGAACCCCCAAAACAGTACTGAAATTATTTTCCAACCGTTTACACAAAAGGGCAGCATAGTGGCTAAGTGGTTAGCACTTCCGCCTACCAGCACTAGGGTCATCAGTTCAATTCCCAACCATGGGGCTACTTGCCTGGACTTTGCATGTTCTCCCTGTGCCTGTGTTGGTTTGTCTGGGTACTTCGGTTTTCTCCCATACTCCAAGACATGCTTGGTAGGGTAATTGGCTCCTGTCTAAATTGGCCTAGTATGTGTATGTATGAT